AGGCCCAGTGGTTAATCTTTGCTCATTGTCAGGCGTTTCTAACCGTCTTACCGTCAACATAACGATTATTGCCTTTATTCCTGAGATATCCACAGATGACACACGCCAAACACTCTGGTGTCATTTAAATTTCCCGCCGCAGGTGATTTTTAAAAGCAACAGGTTGGTTCAGCCTCTCATTTCTGCGTTCAGAGTAAATCCCGAATTCATTTCGTAGTATTTGAATGTGATATTCAAAAGCTGTTTTATTTCAGCTGTGACTCCAGTTATTTTCTCAGCGTCGGTTTTTGCTGACAACAAAACTTAACCACAACCGTAACAACGGCACGATCGCAGGACAGATTTCAAAATAAAAGCTCCCTGCGTCTTGGTCTCGGAAATCATGACACTGCTGCCCCCATTTGGTCCTTCTTAGAATTGATTTGATCTGGTAAACATGATAAATAAATGTTTATTTAAAAAATAAAAAAAGTCTGTATCCCTATTTGTTTTTTTGGGGGGGTTTTTTTGTAATAATAAATAAATAAAAAGTAATAAATCTGAGACATTTCAGAAGATTTTAATTTGGCATTTTTATCCCGTAACACAAGTAATCGTAAAACGACCGAGAATGTTTAAAAAAACACCTGTTTTGCAATATTTAATATTTTAATGTTAAAGATGCTAATATAAAGCATTTAAATAAAAGAAGGGATGCTTGTCTTTGTGTATCATGTCTGCACATTTTCAACAAGATGTGTATTGCAGACTAAAATTAAGCAAAAAGGATGTATAAATTATGTACAAATTTTATACTACATTACAAATGTAATACGCGATTTTATTTTTTATTTCATAAGGGCTCTTATTTGTTACGACAGTGTCGAATCTGCCGATGTGAAGCAGCGGATATCTGTTCTCTTCTCACATGTCCTTCACATCCTGAGCTCTGACAGCAAAGGTAAAAGATTATTATTTTTTTTTAATGTAACGTGCTTTGCTTCTTGTTATATTTACTGTCTGTCTCTTATTTATTATAAAGCGTTTATTAATGTATTTATTTTGGAAGGCATGTTTCGCATATTTAGTGTTATAAATGTACATGGGATATAATGCTAATGGCTAATGTAGCCACTCATCATCACACTGATATCACTTTAAGGCCTCTATTAGAAAAGAACACGTATTTATTTAGCAGCCTCTGCGCTGTCAGTGAAAACGGCGAGATTTTCTGGTCTAAATGCTCTCTTGGTGTGACTAATGTTGTTTCATTTGATTCACAGCATCCCACTGTACTGTAACTATGGCAGCTCAGGTCACTGAATCAGACCAGATCAAACAGGTAAGAAGAACCTAAGGCATAACCATACACATAAATGATTAAATAGCTATTTAACTGTCCATCTTTGCATTTTGCAGTTTAAAGAATTTCTGGGAACCTACAATAAACTGACAGAAAACTGCTTCATGGATTGTGTGAAAGATTTCACTACGAGAGAGGTCAAGCCAGAAGAGGTGTGTGACCGTGTTGTGTTCATGCTTATGTTTCTGATTTAAACTTGATTTAAACCGTAACTTTTCTTTCCAGACTTCATGTTCTGAGAGCTGCTTACAGAAGTATCTGAAGATGACGCAGAGGATCTCCATGCGCTTTCAGGAATATCACATCCAGCAGAATGAAGCGCTGGCTGCTAAAGCCGGTTTATTAGGACAGCCACGGTAATCATCTGCTGCTGGACTGAACTCCAGACCGTTACGCCAGGCTCTCTCGATTCCAGCATGGAGCAGAGCGGCAGGGCAGGGGACGCAGGCACTGGGAATAGTGTGAGAGGTCCTCTTAACGTCTGCCGGCTCGTCGGATAACTGGATCGTTGGTAATTTTGGATTCCCAAAGGACAGACACTCTCGTTTTGACCGTTATGCTGGTCGTCCGTAAAACACGAACGATCTTGATTGTTTTGATGTTAATGTGCTACAAAATAAAATATTAGTCAACTCTAATATTCAGTCTCGCTCGTGTATAATTTAGCTAATGAGATTAAAAGGAATAGTTCTGTAGATGAGTTTGTTTCTTCATGGGAACAGATTTGGAGAAATTTAGCATCACTTGCTCACCAAAGGATTCACTGCAGTGAATGGGTGCCGTCAGAATGAGAGTCCAAACAGCTGATTAAAAACATCACGATAATCCACACCACTCCAATCTTGTGAAGTGAAAAGCTGCGTTTTTAATAAATCCAACAAATCGGTGTAACTTTGAAATTTCACTTCTGGACAAAATATCAGTCCTTAATCCATAACGCTTCCTTCTAGGGATGTAACGATTAACCGCGAGCCGGTTGAAAATCGATTCAGATCGGTTGAGATGCTAAACAAATCGCGATTCATTTAGGGGTAGGAGTTTATATAAATGTATGTCTGAGGAGAACTTACTGTCTTTAGAAAAGGTTAGATGGTGTTTCTTCTTTTCATCTTGCCTCTGTATATTGCATATTAAAGTTTATAAGCGCAGCGCTGCTTTGTTTACAGCAGAAAACAAGGAAATGCTTTAAGCGCCGCCTGCTGGCAGAGAGTGAATCTGCGTCTCATTCAGCTCGTCTGCTGTTTCGGTTTCATGCAGATATTATCTACTGCTTCACAAAACTGAAGTCAAACCATTCTGTTTTTGCTTCAAATTTCGAAATGATACAATCTAATTTAGATTAAAAACTGCTCATGTTGCATGTATGCAGCATCTTCGTTTGGATCAAGATTAAAATGCAGTGGTTGCCTCTCATTTTAAAGGGAAAGAGCACAGACAAAGCCTGATTTTGTTTATATGAAGAGATTTATTTGTGTTATTTAATTTGGGGCTTCTTTTAAAATGTAGATTTAGTTTTATTTACATTTTACATTATATTTAAATTTTGTTATTTAGCAGATGCTTTTATCCAAAGTGACTAACAAATGAAGTGAAGTGACGTGATGTGGCCAAGTATGGTGACCCATTCTCGGAATTAGTGCTCTGCATTTACCCCATCCAAAGTGCACACACACACAGTGAACACACACACCGTGAACACACACCCGGAGCAGTGGGCAGCCATTTTTTGCTGCGGCGCCCGGGGAGCAGTTGGGGGTTCGGTGCCTTGCTCAAGGGCACCTCAGTCGTGGTATTGAAGGTGGGAGAGAGCACTGTACATTCACTCCCCCCACCTACAATCCCTGCCGGTACGAGACTTGAACCCGCAACCTTCCTATGAGGACAATAGAAGCAATCAAAACCAACAAAAGAGCAACAATATGCAAGTGCTATATTGGTACTGTATATTATTAGTGTTATATTTCAATTTCACAAAGAAATGTGCAGCATTTTGTCCAAGCAATAAGAAAAGGACACATTTAATTTATCATTTGTCTTAAATCTAATTTTGTTAAAAAAAAATTGTGAATCGAATCGAGAAATCAAAATCGTGAATCGAATCGTGAGTTGAGTGAATCGTTACATCCCTACTTCCTTCTGTAAAAAAGTCCATGCCCTGTTGTCTTGCATCAAAATAGACTGAAATGTTTGTTTAGAACAATTTTTGCTTGATCAGTGTGTATTTCTCTCCCGATTCAGATTACTTTGTGACTGTAGAAAGCAGTATTATGGATAGTAGACTTGTATTTTAGCTAGAAGCAATGGTTTTAAGTTAAAGACATCTTAATTATGGATTTGCTTCTTACAAAGTGGTGTGGATTATGGTGATGTTTTTATCAGCTGTTTGGACTCTCATTCTGACGGCACCCATTCACTGCAGAGGATCCATCGATGAGCAAGTTATGTAATGCTAAATTACTCCAAACCGGTTTCCAAGGAATAAACTGATCTACATTTTGGGATGGCCTGAGGGCAAATACATTTTCAGCAAAGTATTTAACTTTTTATTATTAAACTTATCAATTCCTTTAACACGTGTAAGTTCTGCGTAGACTTGATTAATATTGACTAGCTAGATGAATCTCAGAAAACATGGCCATAAAATTCAGTCCAAAATAAATAGATTTTTGCCCTTTTTAGAACCGTTTTTATTGCAATTTTGCATTGTGACATGACATTTAATTTTCAGTTCACTCAAGTTTCCACATCGTGGTAGTATTTGTTTATACTCCCTTTAAGCCATGTGGATCTAATCTTGTAATAAAATAGTGGAATTAAAATCTGAAGGAAAATTCTGATGATGTCCATATTTTGTCCTAAAAATACAGGAATGCATTTTTTCTCTGCCAAATAGGTTAATGTTCCCCTTTTGTGAGTTTTCACCCAGTTAATAAAGACAAAGAAATAAGAATATTTCTGAATATTTCAAAACTTTATTAGAAATGAGAAGACCTCTTCTTATTTTACATAAAGATACAATGGCTTTGCACAGGAACCTAATGCCTTCATTTCTTCATCCAGGAATCTGTAAATAAACTGAAGTCACAGGGAAACAAGTTTTCACAATTTCGTCAGTGAATTAATCGATGCCTACAGCATAAAATGTTCAACATAGTCATATGGGTCATCACTCTAGACAGCTTGGGTTTAGGTTCCTAAATGGTTGAATATATACAGTCTAAAGATGTGCTAATGCTTCTACCAACTTGACATAGAAAAGGAAAATTAATATACAAAGATGTACGGTTTAAAAAATAATAAATCATTTTTACAGTTTGTGTAAAATGTATTTTTCAAATACATAGTTTTTGAAAGATCTATTTACAAAAGGAACAATCAGTAAGAAACCCCTGGGCTTAACATACACATGTGAGAAGCAACTCATTTATTCAATTGGTCAAGAACTCAAAGTGAAAATGAGAATTAAGGATTAAATTATAAAGTACCAGACAATCTGAAATAAACAAGAATGGGGAGGAAAAAGCAGGTCACCAATTTCTGGTGTTCCATCAGGGGAGCTTCGGGGCCCAAATGGAGGAACAAAACGAGGGAAGATGCGGTTTACTGCACAGTAGTTACCCAAATTGTGACGTCACATTCAAGGGTTCAAGATGACCCGACAAAATTTCTCATATTCTTTCTACCCCACCGACCGAACCGAATGTGGGACGATTGTGATTCATCTTGTAAAAAATACAAAAATGCTGTCCACGGACTGAATAAATATATTTAACAAGTTGCAAGATAATACCTTTATTTTACACAAAAATTTCAGCTCTAGAAATCTTTCATTAAATAACTTCACGGCTGTGATATATACTTTTTGAAATTTTCCATACTAAAATAAAAACTCTGCAATTACATATAAAAAGACAAAATACACTTGCAAAGGAAATTAGTCCACTGAAAACAGTTTTATCTCGTGTTCCACTGTAAACATGTTTAGGTTTTTTTTTTTTTTTTTAATTTTCATTTTCTTAAAAAGAGATAACAAAAATAGGTTTTGCATAATTCTCTGTGCTCGCATACTAAGATAGAAGTGGAAGACGCTGGCTGCAGTTTTCAGTAAACTACATTCCCATTTGCAATTGACTTTGTCCTACTGTTCCAAAATAGGGCACTCTGCTGTAACACGCGTACTTTGGCAGTTCTGATGGAACAAGCGCACTACAATTGACCTTTCTTTGAATAACCATGTCCAGCTGGTTAAGGTGACCATTACCTAGGGATCTGAGACAATGTTCTTACCATGTTCTGATAGAGGAACGTACAACTGATTGACTACTGCATCCAAATTCAGTCCCTGCAGCGCAGAAGCAGTAAGAAGAGGTTTCTGTTCAGCGTTTGTAGAGAGCGAAGTGAAAAGTGCTGTCGTATTCGTTCTGGATGGATAAATCATAAGCTTTGATTTCATAGATTACATTCAACCCTCACGTGGAGTCTGTTCCCTGGTGCGACAGCGAGCGAGAGGAGGCAGGATCAGTTTACAAAGTGCAGAAGGTGGGAGGGATCAGAGGAGACGTGGAGGCGGTGGGCAGTCGAGTGCTATTGGCTGTTTGCTCTGGCCCGTCAGTATGCCAGTGTGTCTCCGTGGAGGCAGCAGGATGCTGAGAAGGCAGAGCGGGGCAGGGGGCCGGGGGCGGGACATCACCTGCACTCGACGGCCACAGTGTTCTGCGTGGGGGAAGCTGAAGACGGGCTCATGCCTGTGTCGGACGAGCCTGATGATGTGGACGCTGTGGTGTGGGACACTGTTGATCAGAATCAGAGGTCAAGAAATCACAAAAGACCAGAAATTGACTAATTCAAACACCGTTTACACTTATGAACATTCAGTACAAATTCTTTAAACCTGATGAACAGAATAAACATAAAACAACCAATCATAGCTATTATTATTATTAAATTAAAGGGGTGATATGACGTTGCTAAAAAAGAACATTATGTTGTGTATTTGGTGTAATGAAATGTGTTTATGCGGTTTAAGGTTCAAAAAACACATTATTTTCCACATACTGTACATTATTGTTTCTCCTCTATGCTCCGCCTTTCTGAAACGCGTAGATTTTTACAAAGCTCATCAGTCTGAAAAGCGAGGTGTGCTGTGATTGGTCAGCTATCCAGTGCGTTGTGATTGGCCGAATACTTCAAGCGTGTGACGGAAATGTTACGCCCCTTACCATACTGTGATGCCGTGTCTAGGCGCAACAAGACAAAACCCATTATAAACGAGGCATTTGTAGCATCCAGAGGGGACATAATTCTGGATTATAATGACTTATACTGTCTTAAGGTGACCATTACCTAGGGATCTGAGACAATGTTCTTACCATGTTCTGATAGAGGAACGTACAACTGATTGACTACTGCATCCAAATTCAGTCCCTGCAGCGCAGAAGCAGTAAGAAGAGGTTTCTGTTCAGCGTTTGTAGAGAGCGAAGTGAAAAGTGCTGTCGTATTCGTTCTGGATGGATAAATCATAAGCTTTGATTTCATAGATTACATTCAACCCTCACGTGGAGTCTGTTCCCTGGTGCGACAGCGAGCGAGAGGAGGCAGGATCAGTTTACAAAGTGCAGAAGGTGGGAGGGATCAGAGGAGACGTGGAGGCGGTGGGCAGTCGAGTGCTATTGGCTGTTTGCTCTGGCCCGTCAGTATGCCAGTGTGTCTCCGTGGAGGCAGCAGGATGCTGAGAAGGCAGAGCGGGGCAGGGGGCCGGGGGCGGGACATCACCTGCACTCGACGGCCACAGTGTTCTGCGTGGGGGAAGCTGAAGACGGGCTCATGCCTGTGTCGGACGAGCCTGATGATGTGGACGCTGTGGTGTGGGACACTGTTGATTAGAATCAGAGGTCAAGAAATCACAAAAGACCAGAAATTGACTAATTCAAACACCGTTTACACTTATGAACATTCAGTACAAATTCTTTAAACCTGATGAACAGAATAAACATAAAACAACCAATCATAGCTATTATTATTATTAAATTAAAGGGGTGATATGACGTTGCTAAAAAAGAACATTATGTTGTGTATTTGGTGTAATGAAATGTGTTTATGCGGTTTAAGGTTCAAAAAACACATTATTTTCCACATACTGTACATTATTGTTTCTCCTCTATGCTCCGCCTTTCTGAAACGTGTCGATTTTCACAAAGCTCATCGGTCTGAAAAGTGAGGTGTGCTCTAATTGGTCAGCTATCCAGTGCGTTGTGATTGGCCGAATACTTCAAGCGTGTGACGGAAATGTTACGCCCCTTAACATACTGTGATGCCGTGTCTAGGCACAACAAGACAAAACCCATTATAAACGAGGCATTTGTAGCATCCAGAGGGGACATAATTCTGGATTATAATGACTTATACTGTCTTTTTACGCATTGCATCACACCCGCGTAAACATAAAACCATGTCTGCATTTGTGATCAGAGAAATTACAAACAGCAAGTGCTACTCTACACTGCTCAAAACTCGCGTTTGGATCGTCAGTGGCAAATCCTTTAAATATGAAAACGTACTTACAGGCTGTGAGTCAGCATTATTTGTCAGAACACTGGCATTGTAGGCTACTCTCCCAGGAAACAGTCCTCGTCCTCCTTAAAATGCGTTGCACACATCTGAATATTTGGGTTGAACTGTTGTAAATACAACGTAGCCACTGATTTCTAGTCGTGTCCTCTTTTGGAAGTCACAACGAAACACAGCGCCTTCACGACACGGCGGCGGCGGCAGCAACAATACTACAGCGAGAATCAAAGTTACGCCTTCTTACTTTGCGTGCACATTTGGGCGGCGTTATGCAAATCTTCCCACACAGTGACATAGACATGTGTGGGTGTGTTTAAACGAGGCGTTTTAGGAGGCCGTGGACGACTCTTAACTTTTATAAAGAATATCTCTGGGTTTGAGACTTTAATCTTTGCAACTGCAGGGATCTTATCTATGCACGAACAGCTTGTAACACTCCAAAGAGAAAGGAAAACTTGAAATCGCATCATATGACCCCTTTAATATTTTATTGTCATCATTATTATCAGTTTAATAATAATAATAATAATGTTATAAACAAATAAATTCATAACTATTACTACTACTATTATTATCATCATCATCATCATCATCATCAAGTCAAAGGTCAATAATTCTCAAAAGACAAGAAACCGAGAAATGAGAACACCATTTACAAATTTTTTTTTTTTCAGAATAGACGCAAAAAAAAAAAACATTTTTTATGTCATTATTATTAAAAAAAAATTTAAATGTTTTTTTTTTTTTTTTTTTGGATTTCTGCCTTTATTTTACAGGACGGGT